CTAGGGATAGCTTTATCCAGGGTCAATAGACTGTAAGTAGCATCCCTTGGTCATGGTTGCAGTGGTCTTCTAGGACAGGTGGTCGCCTTAACCGAGTGGTCGCCTTCACAAGTTTTACTGTATGTGTGTTTCTGTGTGTGAGTGTGGCGGGGGTTTGGCTTAGGGGGTGCACACTGCACAGTCATGTGCATGACGAACCATATCTTGTACTCAGGGTAGCATGTAAAACCATATCTTGTACTCAGGGTAGCATGTAAACCATGCGAATACTTGTACAGTAAAACCTGTCAAGGCGACCACTTGGATCCTGTCCTAGAAGACCACTGCAATCAGGACAAAGACATGCTATTTCCAGTAGATTAAACCTGGATAAGGCGACCACCTGGTGACAGAGACCACGTTTTGAAGGTCCCTTGAGCGGTCGTGTTAGACAGGTTTCACTGTACTTGTCATAGGCAACATACCAGTCATGAAGTATGGGCATTGGTTTGAGTGCATTCTGCTACAACCAACTTCCGCTATAAAGAACGAATTCTTCTGCACAATGGTATTCGTTATATGAGGAGTCGAGTGGCAAGTGCTTTGTGAGTTTGTGTGGCATTGCACATGTACTGTAGCAAGATTAGGCAAAACGACCGATTGAGACGATAGATTTCTGTAACTGACTTCACAGAACAACAAAGGCAAGCAAGGCTAGATTGTCGTTACTCGAGTAATCCATGATCTGTTCAAAGCCACATATCAGTGAATAATGGCAAGAGTAGCGACAAACAGTTAACTACCGTATTTTTCGGAGTATAGTGCGCACCTTTGTATAACGCGCACCCCCAATCTTCATTGGGGGTGCGCACTTCAATCTTCATTGAAGTACATGCATTTCACATTCGGAGCATAGTGCGCACCTGCGATTTAGGGCCTAAAATAGCACGTCTAAAGTGCGCACTATACTCCGGAAAATACGGTATGCCTTGCTTGCCCTTGTTGTGCTATGTATTACGCTGTGTCTCCGCGGTGGTGTTGAGCACTGTCAGCACCGTGACTGGGTACATACTCCGCCGTGGTGTTGAGCACTGTCAGCACCGTGACTGGGTACATACTCCACCGTGGTGTTGAGCACTGTCAGCACCGTGACTGGGTACATACTCCGCCGTGGTGTTGAGCACTGTCAGCACCGTGACTGGGTACATACTCCGCCGTGGTGTTGAGCACTGTCAGCACCGTGACTGGGTACATACTCCGCCGTGGTGTTGAGCACTGTCAGCACCGTGACTGGGTACATACTCCACCGTGGTGTTGAGCACTGTCAGCACCGTGACTGGGTACATACTCCGCCGTGGTGTTGAGCACTGTCAGCACCGTGACTGGGTACATACTCCGCCGTGGTGTTGAGCACTGTCAGCACCGTGACTGGGTACATACTCCACCGTGGTGTTGAGCACTGTCAGCACCGTGACTGGGTACATACTCCGCTGTGGTGTTGAGCACTGTCAGCACCGTGACTGGGTACATACTCCGCCGTGGTGTTGAGCACTGTCAGCACCGTGACTGGGTACATACTCCGCCGTGGTGTTGAGCACTGTCAGCACCGTGACTGGGTACATACTCCGCCGTGGTGTTGAGCACTGTCAGCACCGTGACTGGGTACATACTCCGCCGTGGTGTTGAGCACTGTCAGCACCGTGACTGGGTACATACTCCGCCGTGGTGTTGAGCACTGTCAGCACCGTGACTGGGTACATACTCCACCGTGGTGTTGAGCACTGTCAGCACCGTGACTGGGTACATACTCCGCTGTGGTGTTGAGCACTGTCAGCACCGTGACTGGGTACATACTCCGCCGTGGTGTTGAGCACTGTCAGCACCGTGACTGGGTACATACTCCGCCGTGGTGTTGAGCACTGTCAGCACCGTGACTGGGTACATACTCCGCCGTGGTGTTGAGCACTGTCAGCACCGTGACTGGGTACATACTCCCCAGTGTAACTGACTTCACATAGAAAGTCACTTTAATAGCATTTATTTTAGTACTTTCCTAATATCAGGCATAGAGATACATAGTGTCCACTTTAGATGCCTTTTTCTTAATTTCGTATTTAGCTCTTTTGGGCGTCATTATTTTCTTCTCATTATTTCGCACCAAGTTATTATTTGTGGTATTCTCTAGCTTCTGTTTGTTTTGCAGTTGTTCTTGTGCAAACCCCCCCCCCCCACACACACACATTTTTCGATGCCTAGTTGCAACGCTTACGCCGAGACCTCTGGTCGGTTGAGTTGCTCCCAGCACATCAGCACGTCGTCCCTACATCCCCTATGTTTTGTCCTTTTCCTCGTTTCTTTTTGTTCTCCACCTGTTTTCCAGTAGGGCTGTGTCAATAGTAAAAAATAAAAAAATAATAAAAAAAAAAATAAAAAAGATGTCCCGAGAGGTGAGGTTGTGTCGGTATAAGCAATCTCAACAGTGTCTTACAGACTGTGTTCGTAACCATTTAGTGGGCAGGTTCCCTTGGACCTGTAGTTGCACATTTTTGACCTCCTGCTGCAGTTGGTTGGCTGGGGGGGGGGGGGGGGGTATATATCGGTGTCCGGGGCAGTAGGAGGATTGGCTTCGGTGGTGGTGTTAGCTGGTGCACACGTTGTGTGGTATGTTTCTGTGCGTCATTGAATCCTGGTTTGACTGTATTGTCCAATGGTCTTGCCAGTATCGTCTTCGTCATACATCCGCCAACTTTCTTTACAGCTGAGACTTTCAGCTCGTGCTTGCCTTGGTTGAGCTCACCTTCCCCTCCTTATGTTACTTTCATAGCTTAGAACCTTCCAAGTTGGAAGGCTGTTGGAGTGCGCATCCAAAACGTGCTAGAGCTGATTGGAAGTTACAGTAAAACCTGTAACTAACGACCACCGTGACTAGCGACCGGCCTGGTACTACCGACCACTTCGTCAGGCACGGACGGTCTCACATTCAAAATGCACTGTGACTAGCGACTACCTGCTGAACGCGACCAGCGACCGCCTTTTCTTGTCCCAATGTCGAACTTTGACCCGTAACTAGCGACCGCGATGTAGGAAATCAAACATTGCTCGAAGCTCCTTCTCAAAATGTTGATGATTTTCCATGGTCCTGAAAGGACTGTTTCGATACTACAGCTGGACAAATGAAGGCAGTCTCATTTTGACTGTGGAATCAGTGTGGACTGCACTACACCTGCATAATTTCAAGTGCTGTCAAGAACAAACATGATAGGAAACGTCTTGGAGAGCGCATCCAAAGCGCTCTTTGATCGATGTCACTACTCGAAGGAGAAACTAAGACTGAGCGGCTCTCTGTCGAAGTGCAATCACACAGCTCAGTCACCAGCTAGGTCACACTGACAGTCTGTGCTGGCTAGCTAGCATGCTACAGTATTATGTACTCACCTGTACGGAACACAGGCCAGGATACGATGGCGGATACTATAGTCTACAGTGAAGGTGCGAAAACTCGCAACATCGCCGCATCACGTACATGTAGATCGAGTACTGGTACACACCAGCGCAAAGAGAAGCTTCAACAGGGAACTCTTGACTCCTGGTTTCAGAAGTAGGAGCTGAATTTAATGTCTGCAATAAACTTGATTTTCTCTCTCTCCAAGTGTTGTATGATCTGAAAGAAGAATGTCAGTGCTCAAGTGGTGGGGGATTGTATTATCTGCATTTTGACATACATATCATATGATGGGATCCATATATGGTCACGCGGTGCAAACCTCTAACTAAAGACCACCTGCCACTAAAGACCACTTTTCCGGGCACCAAGGGGTGGTCGTTAGTTACAGGTTTTACTGTAGTTGTAGAACGTCAGTACCGTTGGTCAGTGTCGTGCAATTTTATCGCATATTAAAGCTGATTACAAAGTACATGAAAACCGGGTTGTGTTTGTGGACATTATATTTTGTACTAAATTATAGCCTGCCTTTCAGTTCATTGGTCCTTTTTCCTTCCTAAAAACAGTTACTGTATGTTCATGATGCAGACTGCAAGCATAGAGCTGGAGGTGAAAACACACTAACGCGGTCATTATCCTTTACGTGTAGCCATGTCATGGCCTACACTAGTAGTAGTAGACGCATGCCACGGCGAATAATAGTTAGTGGAAGTAACTGTTGTTGGTGGAGCACAGCCACAGGAGACAAAATGCGCTTCATTCAAACACTCAGATCACCTATCCACGGCCAAAGCAGACAGCCGTATCGTCTCGGCCGGGGACGCTCCACACGTGACACCATGACCATGATGACTGCAGTACTGCGATGTACAGGATGTAGACAACCACTTGGGAAGCACAGTCAGTAGAGTAGGCATGCACATCATGGTAGGGCGGTACGCAGTTACCATGGTTACTGCCAGGACTGGATCCGAGTTACCAAGACCGAGTCCAGGGCAGGAGACCGAGAGCGGAGATCGAGGCAGCGAAGTAAAGACAGCTCACCGGCGCGGCCCCCAGAACGGACAGCATGTAGACAGACTGCATACACTGACCTGTACATGTACTGATGTAGTAGTAGTACAGTGACAGACTCAGTGTCAGTAGTCATTGCCATTGCATTGGTACTACTACTACATGTGTAGTACTAGTACTAGTATGTGGCAGTGCGCTGCCAGGACCATGACCATTGATGACGACATGGTAGATCTTAATCTACACGTAAAACCCTGCATGCACGGCAGCAGCAGAGGGACAGTCTAGACGATGTGGACAGTCTACCGGTCTACGTCTACCACTACCACTAGTACCAGGTCTACCAGGTCTACCAGGTCTACCAAGGCTCAACCGGACCAAACTATGTTACAGTAGTACTACATTGTTGGCAACTGAAATCCGATCCCCCTAGCGTCTCGTACGAATCGCTAACGCGCCTAGCGCACCGCTAGGGGGTCGGATTTCAGTTGCCAACACTGTACAAAAGTACAAGTACAAGCCGTAAACAGGGTAAAGGTCTGTGACCAAAACATTAGAATCATCATCAAGAGGCAAGACATCGTCTGAAAAGTCATTATTCAGGAAATGACTCAAGACGAACAGAGAGCTAGTCGCACTTTGCGCCATAGATCTATTCTAACGGCGATTCCGTGTTCAGCCTAAACAGAAGTCTTCCCTGGCCCGCAAACTATTTTGAGTTTGCTGGGCTAGGGGCTTTGCGACTGTCGTGTGCTCGCTGCCTTTCTCTAGTCACTCGATTGACCTCAGTGAAATGGAGGAGAACCAAGGAAATATTGCTCCGAGTCGGACATCCAGCCATGGGATATCTCCCGACGAAGAACCACGGTCGTGTTCCTCTTCCCAGGCTCATCATTCTCCTGCCTCGGTGGATTGCCAAGCTGATGATCCTGCATCGTCGTGCTCATCGACGCCGCGGACAAGCGCAACGCCGGTATCGTTACCCGATGGTGTGAAGAGGTTAGCTGAGATGCTGAAGATGCGCTACGTAAGTGCTAAAGTACAGATTGGCAAGGGGATGGGTGTAAAACCGAATAGGCGAGCGCTGGATAAGATCTTTGTGAATGTGGTTGTGATACCGCGCGAAGAACTGGCTTCGCTGAACGAACAAACTTTCTTCGGTTCCCAAAGCGATGTGCAGAAGTTGAGCCATGTGTTCTCGCGAGTCGCGGACAAAGTGCAGCACGTGCAACTGGCCAATATGTTTGACTTTGACGGGGAAGAACTTGATGAAGACGAATCAGTTCGTGTATTGGCTGTTGCATGTGCTGGCGCTGGCAAGACGACCATATTCTTGTTGAAAGGTCCTATGGACTGGGCAAGAGGTCTGATCTGGCATGAGTTTGACATTGTGGGTGCATTGGCGCTGCGTGAACCCAGTGTTCAACACGCAAGTGATATAGTTGAGCTGCTACGCTTGAGGCAGCTTGGCATTGTCGATCCGAAGGAGCAAAATGAAATTGCATCCTACATCCATGCCAACCCGCGGCGTCTTTGTCTCGTATTCGATGGCTTAGATGAAATGGTTCTTGACGAGTGTAGCGATTTTGTGCGTGGCATTATTTTCGGCAAGGAATTGAAAGGTGTTCACTTGATTCTTACATCACGCCATTCGAAAGAAGTCATAAAACTGGCTCTCTCATGCCCATTTGACCGTCGCGTAGAAGTGCTGGGATTCACCAAGGACAATGTGCACGAATATGTAAACAATGTCCTCCCGTGCGAGCCGGCCAGCAAATTGCTTGAACGGGTCAATTCTGATCCGAGTTTAGCGGCCATTATGCAAACGCCTTTCTTCACGGAGTCGACCTGCGACGTTTTCCGTACTTCTGGCTCTGTTCCTTCATCACTGTTCGGCATCTTCATGTCTTTGATCCTGAGTATCGTTCGACAGAACACTGAGAGTGCGTATCCAGACTGGCCGTCCGTTCCTCGTATCTTGAAGGAGAGGATCCTGGAGTTGGGTCATTTTGCATTTCTGATGCTAGTTGGTAAGAAGGTGGTGTTCAGCGACCGTGACCTTGATGAACAGCAGGTGTCGAAGGAAAGTCGCTCACTTGGTCTTCTTGTGGCGTGCGAGTCACTGTCGTATCCATGCGTTGGTCAATGGCAGTTCAGCCATCTTTCGGTTCAAGAATGCCTTGCTTCCCAGTACATTGCAGCCACTGTTCCGGATGCGAGTGACGTTAAATTCCTCGTGAGGCAGGTGGGAGCTTTGACTGGTCACTTGAGCACTTTTTGGTGTCTGCTTGCATCACAACTGGTTGCAGACGCGAAGGAAGCCTTAATTGCAGCGATTCTCACTCAGCCTGTTTCGGACGAGCAGGATATTCGCAAGCTGAAGGCATGTGAAAGTGTGACTCGTTTCTTTCGCTCTTCCGAGGACGATCTTCTGCTGGTGACAGAGGTTCTGTGTGAACATCTCGACGATTCGGCCGTCCAGAGTCTGGCTGCTTGCGTTCTCACTGATCTACTAGCGGACGGTGTGAGTGTGTCTCAGGCTATCGAAGAAGTTCTTCCTCATTCTTTCGCTTCGTCATTGCAGGACTACGTTCGCGCTCTTCTGCGGCTGTGGCGGCGCAAAGTACCCCGCGCTAGCATCAGAATGCTATCTACCGCCTTGAAACCTATCAATCCCTATGCATCAACCCGCCTTCTTGAGTATTTCCATTCCAGACCATCCACATCCCTTGACTCCGACCAATTGGCCTTGCACTCGCAAGAAGAGAACTCAGTCATGACTACTTCGTTATCAGATTCAGTTTCGGCTGTGAACGAAGTTCTCACACCTGTTCGCCGTCAACTGCTGTTACTTGCTTGCCGTGTGTATGCGCAGCCTGGAACGGATACAGGTGACGTGGCCAATGCTGCACATTCACCCTCGCCTGCTCTAGAGGCAGCCTTCTCACACTATGGCTGCGACTTTAGCAGGCTTTGCCTTTCTTCGGCGGATTGGTACCTTCTATCATCCGTGATTTCAGACCATCACAAGTCTATCGGCACTATCTCCCTTCGCGCCTGCCAGCTAGATGATCGTGCATTTGAGCTACTGGCACCGGGACTTGTTCAGTGTCGTGGATTATGGGAAGTCGACATTTCATATAATGCACTAACAAACAATCTAGTGGCACTCATCTGTAACGTGATCCGCACGAACCGTTCAACTTTGCGCTCACTGAACATAGATGAACTGCAGATGTCCTCATTTGGATACGCACAGTTGGTACCGGCAATAGTTAGTTGTCACCGTATCACCCACTTGTACATGGGTCATGTTCAGTGCCAGGATATCACCACCAATATTCTCATATGCCTGGTCATCCTGGCGTCCTGCAAGCTGCTGCATAACCCCGGTCTGCACTTTCATGTCTACGATGAAGGTCTGTCCATGCTGTACCCCCTCTTGGTGTCACGGAAACGCCTCGCATTGGAATTTCAATGTGCAGGGCTATCATCATCGGGTGTATCAGTGATCAGGCGTGTTATCACAGTGAACCATGGACACCTTTCCGTGTTAGTTCTGACTGGTCTGTCCGACATGCTCCTATTCACTCTGGCACCAAGCATAGTGTTGTGTAAAGCATTGAAAGTGCTGCGCGCGGGTAATGGCACTCTCACTTCCGAGTCGCTTCCTGTGCTTGCTAGTATTCTACTAGAATGCCCTCTTCTCCGTAGTCTTGGTGTCACTGACAGCACTGTATTCTGTCTTAAGAACGACGATGAGAGGAGTGGGCAGTTTGTCAGAGCTGTACGCAGGAGTGAGAAGTTGGAAATGCTTCTAATGCCCCGTCGAGAGTTTGTGAATGATCGCCTGGCCGGGCTGATTGCTAGTGTGGCTGCAGTAGTCGAGCGTGACCTGCGGATTGTGTACTAATGACTGTGTAGGATTATGTACACTACTTGATCCCATGCCAGCCCTACCCTACAGTCTGGTGATGTGGAATGTAGACCATGCCAGCCCTACCCTACAGTCTGGTGGTGTGGAATGTAGGCTGTAGGAGCACACAGACTGCACAGTATGTATATACATGTACATACTATACACTGAATGTACTGCATACACGTACATAGTACAGTATAGATAACACATGTTAGTCATCTCTCAGCATGTAGTATTGTCTGCAGTACAGTTATGTACGGCAACTTGTCCACCATATCTCCTTTGCCCAGGTGGCCTGCAACCCGTATGACACAGTTTGTTCGTTGGCCGAGTCGCTACTTGCGCGCCCATATCTGCCATAGCTACCCAAGCCCCTTATCTAGCTCTCTCTATCTATCTACCTCTCTCGCTCTTCCTTTCTCTCTCTCTCTCTCTCTCTCTCTCTCTCTCTCTCTCTCTCTCTCTCTCTCTCTCTCTCTATCTCTTTCTCTCTTTCTCTCTCTCTCTTGCTCCCTGCCTCTCCATCTACCCATCACCCATGTGGTTTTCCGTTTCTCCGTCACCCCTATCCGTTTCCCAAGTACCGGTAGTACTTATCTTCCCAAACCAACCTCGTCCGTCCCTTGTTGTCAGTGTGTAACTATGGCAGTCCCAAATCTTCAACAGTAGACACGGAGTGTATTGAACACATACATGTAGAGGTGTTTGTACGCGTATGAGAATATCAGAAACTATCTACACTAGCAACACACTGAACACCATACCTGGTTGAGTGCGCTTATTCTTGCTTTTTTTTTTTTAAATTTCCTGCCGATGGCGGACCAATAGGCCTGTTTGTAGTGGTTGATTTTTCACTTGAGAATTTAATACATGACGAGACGTTTTCATTCCCCGAACACTGGTGATTTTTTTTTCGAGACGTTTTCATTCCCCGAAAACCGGTGATTATATTTACGAGACGTTTTTTATTGTCCTCTCATCTCCTGTGTACATCAGCCATGCATAGGAATGGACGGTATTGCCTGGTGATATACGTAGCTCTAGTGTAAGTCGGTACAATAGGCTGACTAGAGAACCGGACAACCAAGCCTAGTCTGCTATGCTATTTCTTATAGTGAATAGTACACAATGAGCATACCTGATAACTGTCTTGCCTTGTCTTGTGCTGAGCGGCTGGATAATGTGTGTATGTGCGTTGGGAGGGGAGGGTGCATGTGTGTGTGTGGGGGGGGGGGGGGGGGCTGCATGGGTATATGTATGTGCATGGGTGTGTGGGGGGGGGGGGGCTGCATGGGTGTATGTATGTGTGTGGGGTGCGGGGGGGGGGGGGGGGGGGGGGGCAGCGAATGAAAAATAGGGATTCACTGGCCAGAGAAAGCCACTTCAATCAGCTGTGTGGTGGATTCGCTGGCGCTGAACTTTACCGCGCGGTGCTTTACCGCGCTTAATTGCTGGCACTGTACTTTACCGCGCTGTACTTTACCGCGCTGTGCTTTACCGCGCTGAGTCGCTGGCGCCGTACTTTAACGCGCTGTACTTTACCGCGCTGAGTCGCTGGGGCTGTACTTTACCGCTCTGAGTCGCTGGCGCTGTGCTTTACCGCGCTGTACTTTACCACGCTGAGTCGCTGGGGCTGTACTTTACCGCGCTGAGTCGCTGGCGCTGTACTTTACCGCGCTGAGTCGCTGGCGCCGTACTTTACCGCGCTGAGTCGCTGGCGCTGTGCTTTACCACGCTGTACTTTACGCGCTGAGTCGCTGGCGCCGTAATTTACCGCGCTGAGTCGCTGGCGCTGTACTTTACTGCGCTGTACTTTACCGCGCTGAGTCGCTGGCGCCGTACTTTACCGCGCTGAGTCGCTGGCGCCGTACTTTACCGCGCTGTACTTTACCGTGCTGAGTCGCTGGCGCTGTACTTTACCGCGCTGAGTCGCTGGGGCTGTACTTTACCGCGCTGAGTCGCTGGCGCTGTACTTTACCGCGCTGAGTCGCTGGCGCCGTACTTTACCGCGCTGAGTCGCTGGCGCTGTGCTTTACCACGCTGTACTTTACGCGCTGAGTCGCTGGCGCCGTAATTTACCGCGCTGAGTCGCTGGCGCCGTACTTTACCGCGCTGAGTCGCTGGCGCCGTACTTTACCGCACTGTACTTTACCGTGCTGAGTCGCTGGCGCTGTACTTTACCGCGCTGAGTCGCTGGGGCTGTACTTTACCGCGCGGAGTCGCTGGCGCTGTGCTTTACCACGCTGTACTTTACCGCGCTTTACTTTACCGCGCTGAGTCGCTGGCGCCGTACTTTACCGCGCTGAGTCGCTGGCGCCGTACTTTACCGCGCTGTACTTTACCGTGCTGGGTCGCTGGCGCTGTACTTTACTGCGCTGTACTTTACCGCGCTGAGTCGCTGGCGCCGTACTTTACCGCGCTGAGTCGCTGGCGCCGTACTTTACCGCGCGGTACTTTACCGTGCTGAGTCGCTGGCGCTGTACTTTAGAGCGCTGAGTCGCTGGGGCTGTACTTTACCGCGCTGAGTCGCTGGCGCTGTGCTTTACCACGCTGTACTTTACCGCGCTGAGTCGCTGGCGCCGTACTTTACCGCGCTGAGTCGCTGGCGCTGTGCTTTACCACGCTGTACTTTACCGCGCTGTACTTTACCGCGCTGAGTCGCTGGCGCTGTACTTACCGCGCTGAGTCGCTGGCGCTGTACTTTACTGCGCTGTACTTTACCGCGCTGAGTCGCTGGCGCCGTCTTTTACCGCGCTTAGTCGCTGGCGCTGTGCTTTACCACGCTGTACTTTACCGCGCTATACTTTAACGCGCTGAGTCGCTGGCGCTGTACTTTCCGCGCTGAGTCGCTGGCGCTGTACTTTACTGCGCTTTACTTTACCGCGCTGAGTCGCTGGCGCCGTACTTTACCGCGCTGAGTCGCTGGCGCCGTACTTTACCGCGCTGTACTTTACCGTGCTGGGTCGCTGGCGCTGTACTTTACCGCGCTGAGTCGCTGGGGCTGTACTTTCCCGAGCGGAGTCGCTGGCGCTGTGCTTTACCACGCTGTACTTTACCGCGCTGAGTCGCTGGCGCTGTACTTTACCGCGCTGAGTCGCTGACGCTGTACTTTACCGTGCTGAGTCGTTGGCGCTGTACTTTACCGCGCTGTACTTTACCGCGCTGAGTCGCTGGCGCCGTACTTTACCTTGCTGTGTTGCTGGCGGGGAACTTTACCGCGCTGAGTTGGTGGCGCTGTACTTTACCGCGCAAATAGTCATGCCGCTGAAGAAGCTGGCGCTGAAGTGCTGGCGCTGATATGTATCGCGCTGTAACGGCGGCGCTGAAATGGCAAGACCCCTTGCAGTGATCCAGCTGGTCTGGCCATGGATTTACTAACCTTTTGAACATGATTACGTATGGATGGGGGAGGGGGGGGGTACATAGGTCTACAGTTAAACATGTCAAGACGACCACTCGGATAAGACGACCACCTGCCCTAGCCGACCACTGCAACCAGGACCAAGGGATGCTATTTCCAGTCAAATGACACTGGATTCGGCGATCACCTGGTAACAGAGACCACCTTGAAGGTCCCTTGAGCGGTTGTCTTAGACAGGTTTAGCTGTACATGTACATGTGTGTGTGGGGGGGGGGGGGGGGGGGGAGTGCACGGGTCTACATGTGTATAATGCTATATAACCCAATACTAGTTCAAAACTAGTATTACAGTATTAGATAAACCTTGTTATGTCATGTAGTTCAGCACCCATATGGTTCAGATGGTCCCAACGGACCATGGCTCTGCCAACCGTGGATGGTTGTAGTAAGGTCACTGTTTCCGAACACAGTGTCCTCCACCTTGTTTCATGCTGTCAATCTACCAACATATAGACAAAGTCATGTATGTGTGTGGTGGTGGTGGTGGTGGTGGTGGTGGGGGGGGGGGGGGGGGGGCATGCGTCTATGTTTGCGTGTGGGTGGGGGAGTGCATGCGTCTATTATGTTTGTGTGGTGGTGGGGTCATGGGTATTATGTGTGTGTGTGTCTGTGTGTGGGAGGGGGGGGGGGGGTGCACTGGTCGATGTGTTTGTGTGTGTGGGAGGGGAGGGGGGGGGGGGGGGGTGCATTGGTCGATATGTGTGTGTGTGTGTGGGAGGGGGGGGGGGGGGGGAGTGCATTGGTCGATGTGTGTGTGTGGGTGGGTGTGGGGGGGGGGGGGGGGTGCATTGGTCGATATCTGTGTGTGTGTGTGTGTGTGTGGAGGGGGGGGGGGGGGGGGTTGCATTGTTCGATATTATGTGTGTGTGTGGGGGGGGGGGGTGCATTGGTCGATGTGTGTGTGTGTGGGGGGGGGGGGGGGGGTGCATTGGTCGATATCTGTGTGTGTGTCAAAGCAGCGTGCTGTCTGGTTACCCCAGCAAGTGTAGGGTGTGCATAGGTAACGATCTTGGCCGCTTTATGCCGATGTACTCCGTGTGGTGTAGACCAGGTGTGCATTGGTGGTCGATTCACATGGCTTCGCCAGTTGTGTGGATTAGACAGTTATCTGGTGCATGTCTTGATCTGTCACATTCAGATCTTGTTCGCTATCGTTGCTATAAGAGAAAATCTGTGGGTGCACATCCAGTGAATTTGCAGATTTGCGTGCTTCTCTTGCGAGGGGGGTATACATGGTACATGGTACATGGTACATGGTACATGGTGGGAGGGGGGGGGGGGGGGAGGGCATAGGCATACAGTGAGACTGAAACCTGTGTAAGACGACGGCTCAAGACACCTTCAAAACGTAGTGTCTGTTACTACAGTCCATTTCAAAACTATAGGCAAAAACCGTTATGCCAGCATCTATACCACACAAAATCTGTGATCGCTTTTTGCATAATGTTTTCCAAATTGAGCGTTTGTTATCCAATCGTTTAGAAACTATAATCATGAGAGTAATTGTGGAGCGGACCTGAGCAATAATCCGAAAACTATTCTCAAAAAGCTCCAGCCAAATTTGAAATATTTCAAAACCCTACGCGTCTATAGTTTTGAAATGGACTGTAGGGATAGCTTTATCCAGGGTCAATTGACTGTAAGTAGCACCCCTTGGTCATGGTTGCAGTGGTCTTCTAGGACAGGTGGTCGCCTTATCCGAGTGGTCTTCTCGGACAGGTGGTCGCCTTATCCGAGTGGTCGCCTTGACAGGTTTTACTGTATGTGTGTTTCTGTGTGAGTGTGGCGGGGGTTAGGCTTAGGGGGTGCACACTGCACAGTCATGTGTGCACTCAACTCCACCTACATGTATAATGAACTCGCATAATGCGAATTTGGTGAGATATCAAACAGTTGCTCATTTCCCTGTTTATGACGAACCATATCGTGTACTCAGGGTGGCACGTAAAGTAAGTGCATACTTGTGCAGTACAACCTGTCAAGGCGACCACTTGGATAAGGCGACCACCTGTCCGAGAAGACCACTCGGATAAGGCGACCACCTGTCCTAGAAGACCACTGCAACCATGACCAAGAGATGCTATTTCCAGTCAATTTCCCCTGGATAAGGCGACAACCTGGTGACAGAGACCACATTTTGAAGGTCTCTTGAGCGGTCGCCTTAGACAGCTTTCACTGTACTTGTCATGGGCAACATGCCAGTAATGACTTGCTGCTTGTATGTACATTGGTGTGAGTGTATTCTGTTACAACGAACTTCCGCTATAA